GGATTAGCCAACTTGTTTACTGAAATCCAGCTGATTGATGAAAGTTCTTGTTCATTTTGGGTAAGACTGAGAGGTTTGACCCCATTCTGCTCTTTAACTATCCTGTTGTGTTTTATCAAAATAGGTAAACTGTGGTTTTATTTTGCCTAAGTGCTGTCTAACTGGAATGCCTGCTTACCTTGCACCTTCTCTTTGTATTTGGGAAGGTATTCTCGTGCTGCTTCAGGAAGCATGAAACTGTCTAGTTTGTCCCTTCCCTGTTATTGTTCATGTCATTTTCCCAAATAGGCAAAGGTGCCAGAGCAAACTTTATACATTACCTTTTCATCTTCCCCTGCCTGCCTTATGAATTCTTAATTGATACTGAAAGGTGTTTTAAGGGTTTTTTTGGCTTATTTTTGTTTTTCTTATTTCTTTTGGTGATTTGCTTATTAAAAGAGTATACCTTTTTGTCTTCAGAAAAGCTTGAACATTCAGGATTCTGAAATAATTCTCAGTGATTTCCTGACACTATGCTTTAAGAGAGACTTTAAAAAACAGTAAAGTAGGTAAAGATGAATAAAGTCACTAATGGTGACATCCTTTTCAATTTATTTTTAATTAATGCTCTGTTTCCTAAAAGAATTTCAAGTGATTTACAATAAAAGACATATGTAATAATGCCAATAAGAATACAAATAAATGATTGTAAGAGGAGAAGGAGATAATGATGACCATAATTTTTGCTACTGGGATTGAATGTTAAATTTAGCTATGAGCCACTGTCTTTTGAGACTTGAAAGGAAAACAAATCAGTTCTCATTGGGGAATAAAGCATACCATTTCATCAGGCGAGACAGATGTGTTTATATTACTAAATTCTGAAAACTGCAGAAATGTTCATCAGAATCAGGTCATGCAAATTAAAATGCATTCAGGGATTTTAAAATGCATTGGATTTGAAAGAAATTAATTAGCGCATAAATATTTCACTTATGTTTTTGAAAAAACTAAATTAGTGTTATTGTGTCTGTGAAGTATTCATCTAGCTTACACGAGCAGTACATAAAGAGCATTTGGCTTAAATTACTTAAATAATGAACACAGTTCAATTCTTTTACATTGTGGAATAATCTCAGTAATCAAGCTATGATTGTTTTAGCTATATGTTAAAACATTTTTATTTTCATTGCTAAGTGATCATTTTACAATAATTATTATTACATATGCATATATGCAACAGTTGATATTAGTGCAGTAATTGACTTCACTGCAATCAGAAAACAGAACAGTTTCCTCAACCCCCAAAACTTCCCTTGTGCTGCCTCTTCATAGTCACACCCCTTCACCCCTAACCTTTGACAACCACTGATCTAATTCCCCCTCTTACAGTTTTGCTTTTTCCAGAATGTCTTATGAATGAAATCATACTGTAAAAAAAGAAACCATACCATTTGAGTCTGACCTCCCTCACTCAGCATAATGCATTTGAGATTACCCCAAGGTATTGCATGTATCAGTAGTTTATCTTCATTGCTAAGTAGTATTCCAGTCTGTGGATTTACTATAGTTTGTTAATTCATTCATCCCAACCAACATTTGGGTCGTTTCCATTGTTTGGCAATTGCGAATAGTGTGGCTGTAAACAATTGTGTACAGGTTTTTGGTTCAACATAAGTTTTCATTGGTCCTGGATATTCAGTAGTGGGATTGCTGGGTCGGTGTGCAGTTAACATCTTAAGAAGCTGCCTAAACTGTTTTCCAGAGTGGCCTTACCATTTCGCATTCCCCCCGGAAATGTATACGTGAGTTCTGATGGCTCTGCATTCTAGCCAGCACCTGATATTGCCAGTTTTAAAGAAAATTTTAGCTGTTCTAAATAAGTGTGTAGCAGAATTCTTAGCCATGTTTGTCCGTTAAACCTTTGAGATTTGGGAGAAAATATGCATGAGGCTAGATCAGATGCAGAGATAAGGAGGAGAGAGACCATTAGATTCGTAAGAGGTTGTTAAGTCTGTAATAGTCACTGTTGTATCCCCAAATGACGGCCACAATACCTGGCACACAGTAGGTATGTTAATTGAATCCTTGAACAAGCGATTGAGAGGTTACGGGAGAAACAAGAATAGGATAGAAAATAATTTTAGCTTAGACTTGGTCTGAGTAATCCCAGTATATTCGTGTGACATATCCCTTTAAGTCTATGTTTAAATGTATGTTTAAAAGTTGAGTCCACCTCTGACTCCAGCCCCTTTGCAGGAAAAAGTACAGGCAGAAAAGACTTGATGCTACTAACTGGTTATGTGGATTTAGGAAAATCATCTTTAACTCTTCTGGTCCTTAGCTTCATCACTGTAAATGAAAATATTTGATTAGATTATATCTCAGCTCCTTTAACTATATATATTTTTTGCGATCACATCAAATGCGAAATAGTTTGGTAGGTGAGGAAGAAGCATGCCAGAGCCTTTGATGAGGGCTGGGGGCAGTTATCTATGAATACATTGTAAAGTGCATCTATCATCTCACAGGGAGTTTGGGGGTGAGTGTCTAAACATAGAGCTAGCTAATGGGTAATGGGCAGAAATAAACAGCAGATAGAAAAAGGTAGTTACTGGTTTGCAAATATAGTAGCAGCAGTGCAGGAACTTGGGGGTGTATAAAAGGAATTAGGGGTTGAGAATGCAGAATTTAGAAGCTTTTTTTTTCCTATTAAGAAAAGCTTTAAGTTACACTAAAGACTGGAGGGAAGCTGCCTATAGTGTTTTTTCATGCAAAGCAGAATGCCTGAGCCTCAGAGAAAGCCAAGCTGAGAGTAGTAGGAACACAGACAATTCAGGGCCCTGTGTGAACAAATTGTTAAGCAGTGGTCTTTTTACCTCCCTCACTTTCTCACTTCATTTCCTAGTTCAGAGGTAGAATTTAGCAACAAACAAAGAGAAAAACAGTTCTTAGTAGATATTTATTCTGTTTATATGTGGAACAATTTTGTACGCTATTTTCCACACGTGTATTGGTAGAGATTTGATAATATATTTATTACCCAGATAAACTTGATTTTTTTGTTAATGGATTTGACCTGTTTTGTTGTTTGACATTTTTAAAAGCATCGTTACATTTGAAATTGTATTTGTTTCCTGATGTGATTCTTTTTAAATATTCAGAGGTCTTGATTGCTGGAACACCTTTTTAAAGATATACATTTTCAGGCCATCATTGACTTCATAGTTTAATATTTCCAATAGTTTTATTATCCTGAGGTAAACTGTATGTTTTTGTTCTAATATAGTTCAGGTTATAAAGTCAAATGTTTGATTATTTATTTTAGACTGTGTTTCCAACAATTTATTTTAAAACATCAGTATTATGTTCTTCTGGTTATAAGGACCCATGAAAGTACAGTTTTCCCTGGTACCCATGAGGTATTAGTTCCCGGACCCCCTTGGATATCAAAATCTGAGGATCTCAGGTCCCTTACATAAAAGAGCTTAGTGTTTGCATATAATCTAAGCACATCGTCCCATGTACTTTAAATGATCTCTAGATTACCTATACTACCTAATACAATGTAAATGCTGTGTGAGTTGTTGTTACACTGAATTGTTTAGGGAATAATGATAAGAAAAAAATCTCTGCATGTTTGGTACAGATATGACCATCAGAGTAACATTTTTTTTCTGAATAGTTTCTGCATGTATGGAGGGCTGACTAATCCTTTGGCAAATAATTTAGGAAAGAGAGTGAGGAGTCAACTTCTGTTCAGCTTTTCAGCTCATAACAAGCCAGCTTAAGTCTAATTGACCAAAGATACTACTTTCAGATTCTAATGTAAACAACTAGTATATCTAGGTTAGAAAACTTTTTTAGTGCGCTGTAAAATTGTCATTACTTTTAGGCATGATCACCCTTGGGAAGCTGTTCTGCAGTTCTTTGTCCATTAAGTCTGTTTGTTATAGTAGGATATAAAAAACTTTGGAATATTTTAAGATTTTGTGTTGGATAAATCCTGGAAAAGGAAAATACATAGGTTTATGTTGATACTAATAAACATAAAAAACAAAGGCTTTATAAACTAGATGGCTTTAATTTTGGAGGTCAGGCATTTATACTCTTTTGAAAGTCTCAATTTTGTATGTACTGACAACTTGTTAGACCAGTAGGGCAGGTAAGAGGGTCACCTCTAGGGCATTCAAGCCCTTATATCCTTTATCAGAGCCTATTCTGTAGCCCTATGATTAAAGATCATTATAGCATCATTCTGAAATTGAATTTGGGCAATTATATGTATAGTAACAAATATGCCTTTTTATTTTATATCTTTCAGAATCATGGTGTCATGGAAAGGGGTTTACTTTATACTCACTCTGTTTTGGGGAAGCTTTTTTGGAAGCATTTTCATGTTGGGTCCCTTTTTACCTTTGATGTTTATAAGCCCTTCTTGGTATCGCTGGATCAACAACCGCCTCGTGGCAACCTGGCTCACACTTCCTGTGGTAAGTTACACACCAGAGACTGTACCAAAGTGGCCCAACCTATTGATTTTTACTTTGTTAGAGTCAGATTTAGTCAGATGTTTAAGTCTTTCCTGTTATATAAGAGATGCATTAGAATGTAAAGGCAATATAAAACCTGCAGGGTGGAAGGGATCAATGGCGGGGGACGGGGGGGCAGGAGGACATCTGTAATACTTTCAACAATAAAGGTAAATTTTTAAAAAATTTGTCCTTTGAAGTAAAACATCTAAGAGACATGTAAAAATTGAGTTTCTTTTATATTTTCATGAATTTTCTTTTAAAAATTTTTCTTCATTGAGATATGCTTTACATGTAGCAAAATATACAAATCTAAAGATACAGATTGAAGAATTTTTGCATCATTAATCTTATTTTGCATTTCCATTTATTTTACCAAACAATGACAAAATTAAGATTTAGATAACTGCCCAGCCTGTGTGGCTTAGTGGTTGAGTGTCAACCCATGCACCAAGAGGTCGCTGTTTCACTCATTGTCTTGCTTACTAGTAACAGCATATCAGGCCGACAGTCTTCCAGTTAAGAAATTTATTGATGTCAAATCCCCTATAGCTAGGTTACAGAAAATTGATGTTCTAGTTTTGAGATAGTAAGCATCTCTGTTCAAAGAAATGGAGAAAAACTGTCAGGGTGTCTTTTATGACTGTTTATTTCATACTTTTATAAGATACTAAAGGAGTTTTTATTTTGAAGCAAATAGGTCATTTTCTTATTTAGAAGGAATTTAGTCATTTCCCCCCTATTGTAGGTGTACTTTATTTTAAACAATAGCTAACAGTTAAAAGTAATTTTTCATTAAAAGTAAATTAGGTTAAGTGCACTTAGACTAATTATTGTTCACAGAAATAATCACAAAATGATCATTTTTGTGAGCTCTTGTGTATTAAAATTATTTCATTGGAAAGATTTTTCTTGCTGTATTGTTTTTAAGGAGCACATTTTCTGTGTTAAATGAGGTACTAGAGTAAAATCTTTTAGAATCTTAGATGAAACATAGAGTCACCTAGCCTAACCTACCTGTGTGTGCATGAATCCTTAGAACAGTCTGTGGAGTGAACCTTTCAGTCTCCCTTGGAACATTTCTATAGCAGGTAGTGTATATCTTTGTTCATTTCATTTTTGGATGGTTTCATTCAATATAATATTGTCGGGGTCAAACTTTGTATGTGCCCAGAGCAGTTTTTGCTTTTCAAAATTAAGTGTTTTCAACAGTCCGATTGTTAGCTAATTACCTGGGATTATGAAAGTTACTTAGAGTTCTGTCCTTTCACCATAAACCACGACTTAGGAATTTAGAGGACTCCCCACCTAGAATACAAGTCTCTTTCTTCGATAGCCTTGCTGATTTCATTCCAGTCCTAGAACAAAACAGGTGTTCAACAAACAGACTAATGGATATAATTTCTGTCTAGACTGCTTCTTTTAATAAAGGGGGGTGCTCAGTGTTTGAGGATGCTCAGGACTTGGAATTGCAAGGCCTTAAGTAGCTAAGATTTGAGGAGCCGGGCTGAAGCCAAGTCTGAAGACAAAGCAGATGAGGAACAGCACATAGCTGTTGTTACCTCAGATTTAATAAAGACCCATTGGAATGATAAATGAAAGCCTAGGGCATGTGGCAAAACCTATTCTCTGTGATTATTAGGGGAACCTCTCATTTTAATGTTTTCATACATGGTTGAACTCTTGGCAGTAGGAAATAGTATATAAAAGATCCTCAGAAATTGCTTCTCTATTTCTAATTCTAGAAGTATTTGTCCAATTAGGTAAAAGTCATGAGCATTGTAGCTCTTAGTTCAATGGAGAAATAAAGCATTATAAAATTTTACAAGATTAGTTTCTTATTGCTGAACGTATCTTATTAGAAATAGTACAAATTCAAGAAATACAAGAATAGTGTCTGTTTGTTTTAGCTTTTAATCTGGATTATTTGAATTCTAGAGTTCTTTTTAGACATTACAACTTTGTTGTAATTTGTTATTCTGCCTTGCAGGAGCTGTAAATAATGTTGACTAGATATGTCTTGTCTTGTATTAAAAATGATTAATGTGAGCTTGAGATCTAGGCTGCCCTAAAGGTTATATATAAATTTCAGGCACATTCTGATAGAGAGCTAGATGGTAAGGGAGAAAATGTCATATGATATGCTCCTGGACAAACAGTCTGGGATTTTTTTATTTTGACATTTTTCATAAAAGCAAAGGATTGTTTGGAGGATCCATAGAAAATATTTATTAGAAATTGCATATAAAAGGTAGAGTTGAGGTTTTGGGTTTATAGGCTTAAGATTTGAAACTCTTTTCCATAGTACAACACAATGAATAGTCAGGTTCCTCTTTCTACCAGTTAAGGGAAGGGTATCCTGCATTTCAGTTCTTTGCAAATCTGAAAAGTATATCATCTTTGTAAAGCAGGGGGATGCTGATCCAAATTAACCTTGGATGGTGAAGTCACACATATCCTCTTGGCCAAGACATAAAATTTATCGATTCATTTTGGTAGTTGATGGTCCTTTATACTTACAAGTAGAAAAGAGATATTTCTTACTGTGGGTCAAGCCTAGAGGTCGCTGCCGTGATTCTCTCCATCATGATGTCTCCTACATAGGGACTGAATTTCCCAGGGACTTTGGAGTAGGGGTTATAATTATTTGAGTGTTTATGGTCTCTTTTGAAAACCTGATGAAAACTGTAGGCATTTTCCCTTGCAACGCACCTGTATACAATTTCTAGAAGGGTACTTGTATATTGACTCCTTGAAGGCCATTCTTCTAGGGCTTAATAAAAGCCAGGTTAAATGCCCAGGCCCTAAAGAACCTCAGCCAAGGGACAGTAACAATGGGCACCTATGGGATATCTATAGCTGTGTTAGCCCAAATGATCTTTTTTAACTCTGTTAAGAACCTAACACTCTGGCTCTGTACTTCTTTGGACATACAACATTTCTAACTTCGTTTTCCCTTAGCCACTATTTCTTTAACCTTTTTTTCTCAATCCTGTTTATTCCTGTGGTTGAAGTCCTCATGTTCTTTTGTATCATAGTCCTTAAAAAAATAACTTTTTGTGTGAAATATAGCAAACGTACTGAAAAGTTAATAAAACATAAACACACACTCCAATAAATAATTTTAAAGTATAACTATCAACCAGGTCAAGAAATAAAACATTGCTAGCCTTCCAGCAAGCTACCGAGCTTCCCAAGCACACACCCTCCTGTTTAATAGAAGTAGCCACAAAGCTGACTTGTGAGGTGGCTAGTTCCCTGCTGTTCACAATTTTATTCCCCATCTATTTACCCCTAAGACATCTTAGCTTCTGTTTGATTTAGAAAGTTTTATGTATGGACACTTACTGTATGTATCCCTTTTTGTTTGCTTTGCTTCTGTTTCTCAACATTATGCTTGTGTATTAACCATATTATTGTAGATACCTGTAATTCATTTATTTTCATATATCATATTCCATTGTATGACTGTACTACAATTTATTTGTTATAGTTTGATCAAGGTTTTCATGATATTGCCAAGGAACTTTTTATTTTTTTATCTTTTTCTGCCTTGGACTAGTTTTCTCTCCATTAATACAGAAGTAATAGTACAGTCAAATATAAACTAGTAAATTTAGTATATGTAAGCTATTTGAAAATTTAAATAGGGATTGAAATCAGTAATCAGGTTTTCTTATTATCTGTTATGTCTCTTTCAATAACTCCAGTCTATAATATACTTTTCTCCTACAGATTTGCACATAGTATATGCTGGCCATTAGAAAAGTTAATTACAAAACTCAGCAATTATTTGAGCATTTTCTGTGTGCCAGGCATTGTTGTGGGTGCTAAGGCTGCAGCACTTCAGTAAAAATAGTTATATTTTATTCTTTATACATTGTTAAAATGAACAGATATGTGTATTTGTTTTAAAAAATATCATAGTATAGAAGGTATGAAATTAAAAGTTTGACTTTCTGTTCCTTCAACCCTTTACCCAGTGATGACTCTCTTGACTATCCTTTCCATAAAAGAGTAATAATCTTATATATTTATAGCCTTAAAGAATTACACAGTGGAATCTTGTACACCATTTTCTTTTTAACATAGTATCTTCAAGATTTTAATGAAAGTTAGCATTTTTTAATTAGGAAACTGCCAGAAACTTAAATTAGTAGAACTAAAAATAGAAACAGTGCCTTTATATTCACATTCTTCCAGAATAACTTCTTTCCCTGATTTATTATAGAAGATTTATGGGAAACACTATGCTTTTGACTTATTTACTTATGGGAAACCATAATTTGTTATATATCTATTTTGTTTTTGCCATAGGCTTTGCTGGAGACCATCTTTGGTGTAAAAGTGATTATAACAGGTGATGCATTTGTTCCTGGAGAAAGAAGTGTTATTATCATGAATCATCGGACAAGAATGGACTGGATGTTCCTGTGGAATTGTCTGATGAGATATAGCTACCTCAGACTGGAGAAGGTTTGCCTCAAGGCCAGTCTCAAAAGTGTTCCTGGATTTGGTAGGTTATTCACAAATTAATTTGTTCATTTTATATGTGACGTACCCACCTAAAAGAAAATAACTTACTAAACTCCACTGACATAGTAAAGCCATTCCTATTTTTTCTTCACTGGTCTAAAAGCAATCACCAGTTTCATTTTTTTTTTTAGTGGATCATAACAGACTACTTTATTTGAATCTCTTTTTGTAACATCTTACGCTGAAAGAGAGAAGAAACTATTTTCAAGAAAGTAGATATGGTTCCAGAGGGACCAACAGTAACTTTTTTTTTTTAATTCTCACCCATGAACATGTTTATTGATTTTTAGAGAGAGGGGAAGAGAGAAAGAGAAACATTGATTGGTTGCTTCCCATATGCACCACGACGAGGGATAGAACCCACAACCTAGATATATGCCCTCACTGGGAATCGAACCAACGACCTTTCAGTGTATGGGACGACGCTCCAACCAACTGAGCCACACTGGCTAGGGTGATAGCTTAGTAACTTTTTATTGCATGTCATGCTTCTAGTAATTTAGGTCAGAAACTGGCTTGTGCTGATGAGGTACTTGAAATGAACTGATATGTTCACATTCATCTAATAAATACAAATTAAATACCCATTGGTTCTAAGCATTATACTAGGTGCTGGTATTTTCTTTTTATATATTTTTTTATTAAAGTTGACATGCAACGTTATATTAATTTCAGGCGTACAACACAGTAATTACACATTTATATAACTTACAAAGTGATCACCATGATAAGTCCAGTACCCACTTAACACCATACATAGTTATTACAATATTATTGACTGTATTCCCTGTGCTGTACTTTATATCCCTGTGACTGTTTTTATAACTGCCAATGTGTACTTTAATCCCTTCACTTTTTACACCTGTCCTCCTACCCCCTCCCATCTGGTAACCATCAATTTGGTCTCTGTGCCTGCGTTTGTTCATTTATTTTTTAGATTCCACGTATACGTAAAATCATATGGTATTTGTTTTTCTCTGTCTGACTTATTTCACTTAGCATAATAGCCTCTGGGTCCGTTTATGTTGTCACAAATGGCAAGATTTCATTCTTTTTTTTGGCTGAGTAATATTCTATGGTATATATGTACCACCTCTTCTTTATCCATTTGCCTGTTTTTTGTTTTGTTTTTTTTAAATATATCTTTATTGATTTCAGAGAGAGGAAAGGAGAGGGAGAGCGAGATAGAAACATCAATGATGAGAGAGTCATTGATGGGCTGCAGCCCACAACCCGGGCATGTGCCCTGACCGGGAATCGAACCCTGATCGCCTGGATCCTAGGTCGACGCTTAACCGCTGAGCCACACCCGGCCGGGCTCCATTTGCCTGTTGATGGACACTTAGGTTGCTTCAGTATCTTGGCTATTATAAATAATGCTGCAGTGAACATAGCGTGCATATACCTTTTCAATTAGGTTTTTGGATAAATACCCAGCAGTGGAATTGCTGCATCATATGGTAGTCTATTTCTAATTTTCTGAGGAACCTACATGCTCTTTTCCATAGTGGCTACACCAGTTAACAGTCCCACCAGCAGCACAAGGGTTTCATTTTCTAAACCTCCTTACCACACATGTTGTTTATTGATTTATTGATAATAGCCATTCTGACAGTTGTGAAGCCATATCTCGTTTTAATTTGCATTTTCCTGATGACTAGTGACATTGAGCATCTTTCCATATATCTATTGGCCCTTTGTATGTCCTCTTGGGAGAAATGTCTGTTCAGGTTCTCTGCCCATTTTTAAATTCGTTTGGTGTGTTTTGTTTTTGGTGTTAACTTGTATGAGTTCCTTCTATTTTTGTATATTAACTGCCTATCAGATGTATCATTGGCAAATATTTCCTCCCATTCAGTAGGTTGTCTTTTCATTTTGTTGATGGTTTCCTCTGCTGTGCAAAAACTTTTTAGTTTGATATAGTCCCATTTGTTTATTTTTTCTTTTGTTTACCTTGCTCGGAGGAGACATATCTAAAAAAATTATTGCTAAGAGCTATGTCAAAGAATATATGTTTTCTTCTAGGAGTTTTATGGTTTCGGGTTATACACAGTCTTCCAAAGACAGCAGATGGCCAACTGGTACATGAAAATGTCCTCAACATCACTAATCATCAAGGAAATGCAGATCAAAACTACAATATGAGATATCACCTCACACCTTTTAGAATGGCTGTTTTAAAAAACTTGAAAAGTAATAAATGATGGCAGTGATGTGGAGAAATGGGAGTCCTATGCACTGTTGATGGGAATGTAAATTCCTCCAGCTACTGTGGAAAACAGTATGGAGGAAAACTATATATTTTTTCTCAAATATTAAAAACAGAACTAGCATTTGATCCAGCAGTTCCACTTCTGGGTGTTTGTCTGGAGTAAAAACAACACTACCTCAGAGATTTCTGCACCTTCTTGTTCTTTGTGGCGTTGTTCACAACAGCCAAGACATGGAAACAACCTAGCTGTGAATTGATAGATGAATTGATAAATAGAAGTGGTATGCATGCACACACACATGCAGAATATCATTTAACCATAAAAAAAGGAAGTCCTATCATTTGTGATAACATGGATGGACACTGAGGGCATTTTGTTAGGTGAAGTCGGACAGAGAAAAAAAACAAATACATGTGATCTCACTTATATGTGGAATTAAATGAAAAAAAAACACTGGACTCATAGATGCAGAGAACAGATTGGCAGTTGCCAGAGGCGGGGGGGTTAGGGGATGGGCAAAATGGATGAAAGTGGTAAAAAAGGATAAGCGTCTAGTCATGAGAAAGTCATAGGAATAATGTGCAGCATGGCGACTGGTTAATGGCGCCGTGCTATGTATTTAAAAGTCGCTGAGAGAGTAGATCTTAAATATCTCATCATGAGAAAAAAGTTGTAACTGTTTGGTGAGATGATAGATATTAACTAGACATTTTGCTGTGATCATTTCACTACATACCAGTGATTTTCAACTGGTGAGCCACAAGAATTTTTAGAACATGCAATACCTGACTATTTAGTCGGGGGCACTGACCTCTTTTCCCTTAGACTGTCAAATAAATTGACAACAGCCAGTACAATAGCCATCCTGTGTGAATGAATCAAAATTACACCTATTTTTTTGGTCAGATGGGCAAAAAGTACAATATGTTGTTTGGTGTGCTACAGAATTTTAGAAATTAGTTTATGTGTGCCATGAGATGAGAAATGTTGAGAATCCCTGCTATATACACATACGGGGTGGGCAAAAGTAAGCTTATGGTGTGAGTATGCGAAACACAAGAGTTTATTCTTATATTTTCCACACGAACAATTGTACACCTACTTTTGCCTACCTGTATATGGAATCATTTTGTCATATACCTGAAACTAATAATGTTATACATCAAATTACATCTCAGTTTTTAAGAAGTAGTACTGCTTTATTGTATGGTTGTGAGGATTAAATTAAATGCCAATAGAGTGTTACTTGCTGTTGCCTTTTATTTCTGTAGTTCTATCTTGAACAGCTATTCTTGCCTTACAGAAATGCGTATTAGACCTCTGACTTTTTCAGTGCCTCCAGGACTCATATTGTCTTTCCCTGATCACCTCACCTTTATTTCCACCTACTCTACACCGCTGCAGCCATTTTTATCAGTCTTGCTTGTGTTCTTGTGTAATTCTTAGCTTTCCCATTTGCCTATTTTCTTTTCTCACATGAGTTATAAGCTTCTCACAGATTGTCTTACATATTTAGCCTCTTAAATATTTGTAGACTTGATAGGATTTCATGAAAATACAAACCATTAATGAGAACAGACTTTGGATTGGAGGAAAAAAAGATTTTAGTATCTCTATAGTGAATAAGTGCAGAGTAAATTAAACAAGGCAAAAGTGTAGGCAGCAGAGACCAAACCCAAAACAGAACTTGTTTGCAAATGAGAGTATTACAGTTGAAATTTGTAGGAGGAAATGAAAAGGGAAAAGAATGGATGCATCTTAGTGGCCACGCTCTCTCTAGCTGCAGCCTATGCTTAGACCTAGCTTGGTGACAATTTGGCATGGCTTTAGGGAGTATTTAGTATTGCTATTTATAATTATTTTTAAACAAATGCTTGCTAACCAGATGTTTGGAATATAATGACTAAAGAAAATAATATTTTATATGTATAGTGCCAGGTTGGAGAATGTGTGAGAGTTTGGAATTTGAAAGTTCTTTTCTTAGAGTATAATAGTAACAGACTTATGCAGCAGGCCAGGAAAGAACTCATTAAGAGTGTTTAGATTCTAGGTCAAGTTACGAAGAGTTTGGGTAAGTTAACTAAACTGTTTAGAGTTTGCTAAGATACATGCAATTAGATTTTAAGAAAAAATGTCCTATGGTTAGATGTCAACTGTTTCTAATGATGGTATACACATTGATTCTTATTTTTAACCAATTTTGTAACCACTTAGCAAAATCTAATGAAATGAAAAGTTGAACCAAAAGATGTCATAGAAAAGTCCATTTGCTTGGTGAGTTGTCTGGTGAGTTTGTACCAGGAAATACATGTGTCATTTGTGCCCAACTAGCTCATGCTTCTTGGTTTTTCTGGATCATTAATTAATCACATTAGAGTAGCAGAAGAGTTTGAGGCTTTTAGAAAGCATCAAGTGGTAAATGTTAAAGAGATTGTGATTTTTAAAATGACCACATCATGAATTAAACTAAAAATCTCCCTGACAAAGTAAATTGTTGTATAACTCAATTCTAAAACTGCAACGTAATGTAATGGTGAAAGCTAGGGAAATCATCAACTGTGAAATATATCTAGGTTGTTTGGAATGAGATCAGGGAGAAGTCAGAAGTAACGGGTTTGCCTCTGTGAATCTGTTTGTTAAAGGTACCCAGAGCCTGTGAGTGTGTGTCTGTTCAGAAGGCCCTGTGGGGTTTGCTTTAGCAGGATATTTGAAACTGGGCAGGAGGCTATTCATAAGTTCAGTCTGCCAAAATATTAAAATTTTTTGG